CAACTTAAGCATCAGCAGCAGTGCTATGACCTAGGTGTAAAGATGCACTGGGACCTACAGCTCACTTTCCAGCTGAATGCTCAGGTGGGAAATAAGCAGGATATAAGTTAAGAAGGAAACCAACATTTCTGACTCCTAATTGCTCAGGCATCTTTCTGTCACAGCAAATGTGATGTCATAAAGACAATACAATTATGGAGCAATAAAGTGATATTTTGACATGATCATCTCACTAGACTGCAATAAATCAAACAACTTACTGTGATTTAGACCCACAATGAGAAGAATCATGGATACCTTGGGGAATACTTTCTTCTATACCTAAACAGTTTGACAATCCAATATAAATTGAAGTTTCCAAGTACTTTCTTTTTAAAAAAACACAGGCACCCAAAATAAAGCAAAAAACTGTAAGCATATGGCACTATGGAAGAGTAAACAATATTGCTTTCAGGCCTAGCCAAGGGATTACCGTTACATGAGGAAATCGAGGTTGACTTTTAAAAATCTAAAAATAATTCTAAGAATGCTTCCCGTCTCAATGCTCTGGACAAGAGAAAACAAATGAAAAGACTTAGTGTCTACATGCCATCTAGGTCACTGGTATTACACAACCTTCCTTTTTAAAAACACTTCAAACAAATTCCTATACAGAACATTCACGGGCTTTAACTGATTAAAAACAAGTCCAAGATATGAAATACACCCTGGAAGTACAAAATGGCTTGTTTTCAGAAAAAGTGCCTGTGTCCCTGAGAGACTCTAAAAGAACATGATAGGCTGACCAGATACTTTCAATTAAATAGAAAGCATTAAATATTTACTTACATGCCACTTTATACCAGAAGGCTAGATCACTACACAGGACATTCACACAAGATACCTAAGTCTATTTTTCTGTCTTGCACAGTTGCAAAGCAACACATATCGATAGGGTAAGTATACCTCTATAGCAAAGAAATACATATGCAATTGTTCTTCATCACAGGTTCCAGCTCTGCACTACCTCCAGCTTAGTAAGACAGGAGCAGACTTGTCTGTCATACCTCTTTCTATGCTGTGCAGACACAACACACAGGCATATTTCTGGCTTCTAAATTAAATATCACGCCTCCAACTCCCTATCATACCATGCCTGGAAGTTTTACAATCAAAACTATTTGCACTGAAAAAACCCATGATTTAGCAAGCTTTTATTAATCATTCTACTCTCCCTCTGCTTGAAGTTACAGGACTGCATACACTCATTTACACAGTCAAAGACAGGAAAGTAAGTAGCTGCCTATTAAATTATTATCATTTAAAATACAAAGCCTACACTTGTATGTGATATTTATAATCAGAAACCACTAACCATAGCCTTAATTCATTACTAGAAGGTATGTTTATTGCAACAGAGATATTGATAAAGCAAAACCTCCCATGCTCAAGTCCCTCTTTTCACTTACACTGCTACGTGCACTGGGCCTTTCATAGTCTTACAGGGGAGATGAAGTCACAGCACTAGCTTCTGTTCCCATCTGCTACAGGTTAAACTGCCACTGACCTGTCCATATCTTGTGACATAGAGCACAAACTGCTTCATGGAAAAATGTGTGGCTTAAATCTTTGATATTTATAACAGAGAGAGCCCTCGGGTGAAGGTTTGCATTAGGACACTAAACTTGAAGGCTTCAGTCCCCTTCCTTGCTCTGCCCAACTTTCTTAGGTATCTTTGGACAAGCTACCTAGCATCTCTGTGACTTGGTGTATGACCTGTAAAATCAAGATGAACATTCTAATTTCAATTCTGAAGGACAGGGAATTTTAAGAGAGATATTACATGGTTTTGAGGTATCTCATACAACGTTAATGAGGTCCTTACATTAAGAAAATTCACTTTCCAATAGTTTAGTAGAATGACACTTTGCAAATACAAACAAGTGCATTAAAACTGCATCTTCATCTAGAATCTCTAAGCTACTTTCATACAATTCAACCCTGCAACTTCAAGCTGCTGTAAAATTAGGAGCAATGCATGTAATACAGAAAAGCATTTTGTTGTCATGTATGTTTTCTCTCCTGTGCTGCTAAACAAGCATGGTAATTTTTCAAAGAAGAGCAAATGCTTAATGCCTTGAAAAAATATTGCAGATGTTACAAAATAAGAGGGTGTATTAGAACAGAAGTATGGTATATTAACTAATTAGACTGGAAAAAGTTTTAAAATGAACCTTCTGCTCACATATCCACACCTATAAAACCAGGTAGGCTGAAATCACTTTCCCTGGCTTCCTAGGCTCTTCAAGCAATCACTGCTCCTAAATATGAGTATCTGTGTTGCCTGTGCTCCACAAAAGATAAAATGAATTTTTTTTTACTTCCTCCTGTTTCTTAATAAGCATTTAAAAACCAAAGAGGCTTACTCAGGGCAACACCTGCTGTCAAAAAACAGGCAGTATTTATCAAGCCACAATGAAGGTGAATTTGGATGATAAACAGATTCTATCTTGTGGGTTTCTCACACTATAAACTGGCATACACTCAGAAGGGCACCTACTTTTGCCTGAACAAGTGAAAGAGGGGCAAGGAAATTGCAGGATGTGGAAGGAAATGGAGCCTAAGACAAATGAATTCTACAATTACCCTCCCTCAAATATTGGTTGAACCACAATGGTTTCAGCTAGGCTGTAAGATACATTTTAAAAGTTCACACCACAACTCTCAGTAACAAGCACTCCAGGCAATTAGAAGAAGTCAAATCTCCTCTCTAATCAGAGAAGTGGTCACTTGGAAAGAAGATCTTGAGGATGAATGACTAAGGTCTGGTTCAGCAAAGCATTTAAATATATGAGTAGCTTTGCCAAATTTGTCAGAAGTACAGGCAAAACAGAGAAATCTCTCAAATTTAAACAAAAACAAGACAACCATAGTTACTGCAGAACTGGCACTGAGCTGGACATCTTTTCTTTGAAATAAACAGGATCTTAAACATGGAAACATTTAATAGTCCATAGCTCTATTTAATTTCCTTTTGCAATATGGATGAGAGAATGTAAGCAAGACACTCATCAATCTTCCAAGCTAAGTCCTAAGCCCCCTTTTTCTCAGATATTTGTGTTAGGAGTGAAAGAGGAAACCTGCTGTAAGGCGAATTCATTACGTGGGTGTTCACCACATTTGGAGCATGCAAGCTAAAGAGTACGTAGGATATAGTTCATAAAACCAAAACATCAAAATCTGTAAGAAGCAAAAGTAATGAAATCCAATTTCTTAGGAACTTGTGTCTCATGACCAAACTGCTTTATAGGCTCCAAGTGTCAACAAGAATGTTTCCTGTGGTTGGGACAGTCATTAATATCTTCCCCCTCATGTGTCTGTTAGGATTCCCAGAAATGATGAAGCTCACACTTCTGCCTTCCCTCTATGTGAGCTCTCCCCACAGCATCTCTTACAGGAACATGGCAGCTTCAGAGCACTAACAAGTTTCATTGAAAATGCCCAATGGATGACTAAATTAAATGTAGAAGAAGGAAAAAGACACATACAGAACAACAGAATCACCTAAGCTTCTTTTCCATCAGCATTTTTTCTGGTTAAAAAGAAAAGCTTTTATTGAAAAATTATTATTAACTAGAACACAGTTATAACACAGGAGGACAACAAATTTCTTGTACTTGCTTTATTAAGCAAACTGTCACTGGCAATCATTTGTGACTCAAAAATACAGAAAATTAAAGTATCAATTCCCTGTGCTTCAAGAATGCTGTTCTGATACGGAGATAGCCTGGGTAGAGGTCAGTGTAGGATAAGAACTTAGCTTAACAGTACAAAGAGAAAAGGAAAATATTTTCTGTTTACTCATCCATAGTGAGACTGCAGTCCCAGTAAACTGACAGATATTAAGATAGCTTGATTCTTGCATCTCACCAGATCAAAAATATTTTTTAGATTTATATAGTGTATATGTAGATATGTATTTATATAGAATAAATATCCATTCTAGCATTGAGATACTGTAGGGTAGCTTCAAACGTTGGTACAGGTTTCACAAAACCTGTTCTAGAGGAACTAGACAACTGTGAGTAGTCACTCAATTTGTGCCCACAAGAAAAGTAACACAATAAAATATATGCAGCACAGACCAAATGAGCATGGTCCAATTCACACACCTTTAAGAATTCTATTCTGTCTGTTTAGCTAAAACAACAGTGAAAGCATTTGCTTTTAATAGCGAGCTACCTTCCTGCTCTAAAAGCTTCTTGAGGGGCTGGAATGGGAGGAAAGGACAGTATTGTAAGTTGTACCCATGACTACTGTTAGTACTATAGCCATCAAAAAAACAGATTAGGAGCTACCAAAACGTTTTTAACTGGTTTTGTAAAAGGTCTAGCTTTTGCCTTCTGTGCTTATGTATTTCTTTAAATAACAATGTCCACATTTACAGAATCCTATATGTGTGCTTTTACTATACCATCTGTGAACATAATCTAAACTGAAAAAAAAAAAATAGAATGAGGACAATAGCTAATACTGGTCAACAAAAAATTAAGCCTGTTTCTGACAATGTGTAATAAATGTAAGGCTGAAATAAAACACTTTTGAGCCAACAGACCATTAAACCTCCTCTGGAGTCAATCACATAAAGAATAATTTGGGGACATTTAAATCAAGTGGATTATTCAGCTGCCATGCACAAGTGTGTATTCTGAACTAATAAAAATTCATAGGAAATTCTGTGGAAGAAAACTTACAGAGTGTTTGAATGCAGCATACAACTTTTTTCCAAATGTAGTAAGTTGCTTCAGATGCAAATGCCCTCCCTGAAAGGGACAGCCTTCTTACTGCTCCCGAAACTCACTACATTACTGCTCAGAATTCACTGCATAAATGCTGGTGGGGACAGACATTTGAGAAGTATTAAAAACGATCAAATGTGGGGTTTTGGGGTTTTGTTGTTTTTTTTGTTTTTTTTTTTTTTGTTTTTTTTTATTATTACTTTGGAAAGAACAAAACTATTCTCACATTTTCCATTTCCCGTTTTATTAAAGACAAAAGGTATTTGTAAGCTAAGGTACAAAGGAGCACATTTCAACCACTAAAATTAGGGCTTTATCACTAGAAACAACAGCAGACAGAAAAGTTAGTGGCATTAGTAGATCCCAGTAATGTAATTCGTCTTGTTAGTATCGTATGATAACATGCACAAACATCACCTCATTAAAATGCCTCCAGTGAGACTGATTGCCAAATAGTGCTCCACCACGGGCGTGTAACTAATTCTTCCCACAGATCAAAAGGAAAAAACTTCTCTACTAAAATTGCCTTTCTTTCCCGCACAAACCTTGTGTTTTTTACATTAAAAGTGACCTTAATCTTCCCCAGCACAGGATGGCTGCTGGCTTGGACCAGTATCATTACCAGTGATGTAATTATCTGTAAACTTTAAACTATTTCAACACATGGCCATGCTGGCCTGAGTTCTCCTAATTTAGAAATGGTCATCTCAGAGCCTGAAAGGGAGTGGGTGCATCCTGTGGCCTGAATGTGGCCTAGTAGGAGGAACATTCACCCTTTGACAACATAGTAATAATATCCATCTGGGAGACTCAGTGTGAAATACGCTATGCAACAACACTTCCCTGCTAAGAGAGATGGGCGCTATTAAAAAGGAAGCTAAGATCCTGACACAACAGTACTGCAAATAAGATACAGCTGATACTGGTGTCAGAACTGGAATAAATTTTTAAAAGATTATTATTATTATTATGGCTAAACCAAAAATTCCACTCGTTTACATTTTTTACACATAGAGTATTTACTTGTTCTATTAAATGTTTCTTAACTGAACTCTGAAGCAACACTATCCTAAAAAAATAATAGTTTTTCTGTACTGTACAATTAGTTTCCAAATAATCCATAAATACAGGTATTTTTACAGGGATGGAAAACTAAATGCTGAAAATGTTTAGTTTTAATGGTCTGAAATTATATTCACATGCAGGCAAAAAGTTTTTAAAATGACAGGCTCTATTTCTCAGATAGCTTAACAACATTTACTGCCATTCACGTCTTGTGCATGGGGTGGGTATAAAATTTTCCATTCGAAACTCCATTTGCCAAATTCATAAAATGCTACATCTAACCAGTGAAGGCCAGCAAATATATTTACAGGTTTTCCAGAAATTTCTGTGAGATTAACAGAATTTGGAAAGGTAAGGTACGGCAAATGACTCCACTGAAGAACGCTTTAGGACTTCTTACCATCTTTTTTTTGCTGTTAAGCACTACACAGTGTATAAAGTCAAGAGGTATATTTCAGATTTGATCCTTGCCTTGATTCTCAGTTTGGTGGATTCAAGTAAAAACATTCATTTTGAGAAACAAAAAATACATGGTAATTAAAAGTTTTGAAGTAAGTTTAACGCATTATATATTAATATTCCTTTACTTGAATTAGCAGGAGCACATCATCCTCAATAAATTCCCTAGTTAAATAAAAGTTCTTTTACCGCATTATATTTTCTTCTCCCTATTTTTTGCCGAGACTTCAAAACTTTTTCTACTTGAAGTATAATACCATAACTCATTTTAACAAATTACAAGATTTTTTTTTCTGTGTTTCAGTTACACTGGTAAACTCATTAAAGGACAAAAGAGTTACAGCATTTAGCGTTAGTCATACATATCACAACTGGTTTGGGTTTTTATTTTTTTTATTAGAAATTTAACAGCTATTTCAACAAAGTCATTTTTGCTCAGGTTATTAACAGAGCTTAAAAACTGACAACTGTAAATCTCTGGAGAGAGACGAATGATTAAGAGCAACAACCAATATGAAAAAAATCAAAGACAATCACATTTTTAGTAAACTAGAAGATAGACTTTAAACACATGAAAACAGTATTTCTGAGAAAGCAGCAGAAATTATTCTGGAAAAGTGGAATTATTCCTCAAAGTTTCAGTACAGAATCAAACTAAAACTGAAACAGACAAATGCAATTTTGATAATTTGCACAAATCATCTTCCTTACCTATTATATATATACACACTCATATTTCACTGTTCTCCCTAACTACTGTGTACCTTTGGTATCACAACCTATGATACTTTTTCTACCACTATTGTCAAAGCAGTTTTTATGTTTTAACACTGAACTTCATGAAAGTGAATTAATCTCCTAATAAAAAGATTTGTTTCCCCTCGAATTCCACAGTGGATACAGATTACATGCTACAATTCCACTAGTCCAATGGAAAGATCATTTTCTTCTGCCTAATCCTCAGGTCTGGCATGGATAATGGAATCTTTTTTCAAGCAGGCACAGTCCAGTATAACAACAAAAATAACAACACTTAGCATTTCTATCACACTCTTCATTATAAAACACTAATTTTAACCAACCAATTCTTTCCAAGCTCTGTTCTACCTTCTCTAATTTTCTCACATAAACAACATTCTGTATTGATACAAAACCTGATTGCTAGATGTGTCGACTAGCTAAATGACAATATGAAGAGACAGCATAAAATTAAATCAGTAAAGAATGTATGAGAATAGTAGGGATGGCAAAAGCAGAAACGCAAGGGCTGTGTGTGTTTAAATGTGTGTATGTGCACATACACATGTCGTAAGAAGGGTACCTACAGAGAACTATAAAGAGAAAACAAGGTGAGCAAAAGATAACTTATGAAACAGAAGAAGCTACATAAAGTAAATAGAAAGTAATGAACAGTACTGACGGTGACTGAAGGAGACAAAGGAGAAGAGAGAGGGGTGAAAAAGAAGCAGGAAAGGAAAGATCATAATAAAACCTGCTAAGAAAAAATAAAATACTTCAGAGACAGAGCAGCAAAAAGATTTGGGAGTATAGAAAAGCTCAAAGGGAAAAAAAAAAAAAAAAAAAAGGAAAAGAAAAAAGAGCAGAAGAGCAAAAGAACAAGAACCCTTAGTTACTTGACTAGAAAGTCTCTCACCCACGGAATTTGTTACACTGCTGCAATCCATCACATCTGGGTCCACACTGGAGAGCAGCACCACACCTTTCTACACCAGCTTCCCCACTGGTTCATATGCCTCTTGAGCACAGTTAATACCACTAGTTACACAGTTCTTACCCAGCGCATGGTATCTTCAAATGTTCTTTAAATACATATATGTGTATGTAAAGTCAGCTCCTACAAACTTAACTGTTTAGAAGGCAACTTTTTTTCAAGAAGCAATTCCCCGGCAGTTGTCAGCAACCTTTCCTTCACAATTCTGTTTCACTTATTCCATACAGTTATCTCTCTGTCCTAGATTTTGTACTTGGATGCAGAAGCAGTTGCTTTGATTTGGCGGTGTCTCAGTATAGCAAAGTCATCCATCTTGTATTAGAAATAGGACTTCCTATCACAAAGAAAAAAAATGATAGAGGAAAAATCGGACAGCACAGGCACATGAAAGTTTAGAAGCCACATTTAGTAAGTTAGTGCTTGTTTTGAAAGGGTAAGCAAGATCAAAGCAAAGCTCAGTTTTCTAGATGTAGCAAAATATGTCAGTATCCTTATTTTAATTACACTTGTGATACGAGCTGGTACCAGCTCTATGACTTCTCTGTTTACTTACTGCTCCGCTTCTCACTTCCCTCTTCTCACTCCATGGTTTTGTTCCTACCTCTGCTACTTTCTTCAAGGGTGCCTTACTTTTCCATTACATGTTTTTTTCATTCTTGTTCTTTTGTTTATCCCCAAAGAAGTACATAAACTGCTGTATGATGCCATTTCTGCTACAAGCCAATACAGACACAGCTAAAAATCAAGAATTCTAGTGGAACAATTAGCACCATCAGCACTGACTGGGCACCACACTGACTGGTAAGTCCATGTTGAAACCTAGCTCTGAAACCAAATAATGCGATAAAGCTCTGGCAGCACCAGGGAGGTCCCTCATCCTTTTTCTCCTCGCTCATCTCTAACTGTATTGGAAAAGTCACCGCTGCAATGACCAAACTTTTAAGGAACATGAAGAATCCCATCCTCGGTGCCTAGACAGTGGTTTCACTACCAAATATAAGGTTATTGTTATGCCTGTTCCTTCCCATGCAGTTAAGTACCCTGTCGATGCAGTGCTGTGAATCTGCACTGAATCTCCAAGAATTATTAATACTCATGGATATTAGAAGACAATGTGCATTCTTGCCTTCAATTTTAATTCACATTTCTGCTCACAGGCCTTACTCAAGAATTACTGTTCTAAAAAATAGCGAGTGTATCTTAGGTTTATACATTAGGTTTTGCATTTCTAACACAACAAGCCAACATGCTGACATTCTCTCTCCCAAAGCTTGGAGAAGCAGGAGGAGAACAACACTTCTCCCTCCTCCCCAAATAGAAATGGAATTTTGTCAGTACAAAGGGATTTTGCACTGAGAAAGCTTTCTCCTATAAAAAGAGATGAGGAGGGGTATAACAGCATAAAGTACCTTTAAGCCTACTGTTAAGATGTAGCAGGGGACATACTTTGTACCATTTAAAAATTACTTCAAAAGATCTGCAGAATGTAGCTTGTACTAAGGCTGTATCATCAATGCATATCGCTCACAAATTCACATGATGATACATTTTTTAACTTAAAAAATTCTTCTTCATCTTAACATAAAGTGATTGTAAATACAAATGCTACACATATATTCAAAAAAACATTCACATACAGAAACGTAAACAGAAATGGAATTATTTGGTGCAACAGATGTGCTATTGTTGTTTAGATCACGTCATTCTAAATTACAAGAAGACAGAACATCTTTCCTAAATGATGTATTCCCCTAACAAAATAAGAGTAGCAGTACATTAAAGGATGCTATTTGGTGGTTTTTTAACTCACCATGGAGCTGGTAGATGACCCCCACACAACAATGCATTTTGTAGATGTTTGTCATATACTGCAATGCCCATACTAAGGCAACACATCCCAGGAGTTGGCAGCCATGCTATCAGCAAGAATTTGGCTACAGAAACAGCAATGATTCATCATACATTCTAGAAGCACTGGCGGAACAGCAAAACAACACACTTCTATTTTAATCCTTTAAAGGTAACGAAGTTTTAAAAAAATAATTATAAATTTTGATTGTTAAACCAAATCAGGCAAAAAAAACCATTGTTCTAATGATGTATTTGAAAATGCATTTTTATTGACATCTTTTTTCTTCAGAGTACAGAAAATAGCTATTTAGTAAAAGTGTCAGCTAATTACTTACCTCTCTACGTTGTGATTTAAATGGTCAACTCAACATTACAGAACAAATGTTTCCCAACAGCTAAATCAAAAATCACCAGTTTAAAACCAGTTTAATTTAGGTTGTATTCAGTTTTAAAAATCCTCTGTAGCAATTTTTAAAATAACCATCTGGACACATTTGCGTTAATTAAAAATCTATACTGCAAACAGATGATTTTCAAACTCACACTCTGAATGAAAAGCCAACAGCATAGCCAGAACGTTTGTTTCAGTGCAATGTATCACACCTATTATTGTCCCAATAATAACCATGAAAACTGCTTCTGAGGTACCAGCATCTGAAAAACTGCAAATAGCAGTGCAGGTTCCGTCAAAAGCTCTCTCTTCCCTTTCCTCCTCAGAACGTTCCAGTTACATACACATACAAGCAAATTTTGTCTCCTAAATTACAGACATTTGAAAAGATTACTTATTTCTTTACATCGTAATTACGCAGTGACACTGAAACTTTTATCAGTGACACCTTTTTACCCTCACCTTGTGGAAGACGCTGAGTAACGCCTATATTGAGTTCCAGAGGGTGTCATCGGAAAGCATTTCGGACCTGCTGCCCTTTGTCCCATTACACAAACGCACATCATGAACCCTTACCTTTTGGAAAACAACTTCATCCTGCTTTCTTTTCTTTTTGCCGCTTTTTCTGGTCTTCTGGTTTATCTGAATCCATTTTGTGACCTGGAGTTCAAAACCATAATGTTTTTTTAGGAAGAAGATGCAACCTGAGTGTAGCTATTCAGCATTAGTAAGAAGCTATAAACAGATTCAAGACAATTTTTTCCATTGCTTCACTGGAAGGAGGAAAAGCACGCTTCCCATCTAGAATGACAAGGTCTTAGGTAATCTGGTTAGGTACTCGTGCATGGTCAAACTGCGAGGTGGGAGTGCTTCATCTTAGAGCTTTCAGTTTAAGGTTTTTTTGCACGAAGAATGTGTTTGATCCAGACCAGTTTACCAAATGGAAAGTTATCATTGCAGTGTGTAAAAATCCTGGGGAAAATCTCTGTGCTGTGCTTTATCCCTTACACCTTCTATTTCAAGTAAGAGATTTATTTCCAGCCACCCACTCGAATGTTGTTCCAGACTACCAACGCCAAATTTAGATGGTGGGGTGGTTATTACTTAATAAAGTAATAACACTTGTTTGGGTTTTTTGTTGTTGTTTTTTGTAGTTTTTTTTTTCCGCATACAAATTATTTTTATTCCCGATATGAAAGCGGTTATTTTTTTACAGAGAAAGCGTGGCGGGGATGGGGAGAGGGTGGCAGGTGGAAAACTGAAGGAGCAGAGTTGCAAGGGAAAGAAGGGAAAGGAGCAGGAGTAGCGGAGCTGGGGGGGGGGGGACACGACGACACGGAGGCAATAGCTGCGAAAGGTTTTCTCCTCACCTCGTCGCTCACTTGCTGGACGAGCTGACACTCCTTCCAAGTCTCACTCTCCTCCAGCAAAGGCTACACGGGGGAGAAAGCGCACGTTGAGGCGGGCTCGCCCGCGGAGAATCCCCGATCCGATCCGATGCGATGCGATGCGCTGCGCTGCGCTCCGCTCCCCCGGGGACCCGGGGACGGACCCAGCCCCGGAGGCGCCCCCGCCCCGCCCCGCCCCGCCCCGCCCCGCCGTTCCCGGGGCGGGTGGCGGCACACCGCAGCCCTCGGTCGGAAATGAAACACCTCCGCGGGGTCTCCCGCCCCCGTGCTCCGGCCCCCGGAGCCCCGCGGAGAGGAGGAGCTTGCCTTAAAGACGTCAGGGCCGGCCCCGACGGGGTTTCCGCGCCTCCCCCGGCCCGGCCCGGCCCGGCCCGGCCCGGCGGTAGCGCCGCCCCGGGGATGCCGCCCCCGGTGCCCGCCCGGAAGCCCCGGCGGCGGGCACAGGCTGCAGGCGCGGCCCGGCTTGCCGCGGAGCCCAGCGCTGCCTCCGGCCTCCTCGCCGACGGGACGGCCCTTACCAACCTCCGCCTGCGCGCTCGTCAGGAGTTTACAGTCCCTCATGTTTAGAGAGGCGCTCTCCCGGTTAAGAAACCCTTAATACGAAAGACGCCTTCCTCTGAACACCCTCTGCCACGGCCGGAGGAATGGCCCGATGGGGCTAGTTCAAGAGAGGGAGTACCATCACCCTTAACAGCTTCGAGATTTCCCCCGGTATTTGCTCGACATCCGAAGAATCCAACTATAAAATCACCTTGGAGGGCCTGAAACGCATCTTAAAAGCAAGAACCAAAGCAGCTTTTTACTCGTGTTACAGCACAGCTAAGCCCTTTATGGAGGCCTCAGTTAAATGCTTTATTCAACAAGAGACTTCAAGCAGGTGGTTAAATTTAGGCATGGGACTTCAACAGATATTTCAGCACCCTTTGAAGAGGATATTCAAAGTCCAGCATGATGGGAGAGACCCAAGTACTATCAGCCATGTAAAATCTGAGTACTGTAAATTCTTAAGTTAGTATTTTATGAAGTGCTTTCTGTTTAGCATTTAAAATGAGAGACAACAAAGACTGCATCACGCTTGGTATGGTTAAAATAATACTAGTAAGGTATTTTCAGTATTTTAAAAATAATTTATACTCTTTGCTACATATGACAATTCCCTGAAAACTTCAAAAGAAAATCTGTGATCTTGTAAAAGAATAAGGCTTATTAAAGGATTTATTTGAGCAAACCCATCTATATATACAATCAGATGGACTTTGCAGACAGATTTAAGTAAAGGTAGGTCCAATTAGTGTGTACTAAATCTTGACACTATCCCTATATCATTTAAAAAAAAAAAGAGAAAATCTCTCTCCTACCCTTTTTGTTTTACTGCCACAACATCCCTCTCTCAAGATCAAAAGCTTTAGATCAAAGCCAAGATCAAACTTAATGCTTTAAATAGAAGCAACTTTACTATGAAGCATTACACAAAGGAGTTTTTAAAAGAGATATCACAGTAGAAAATCTTAGTGTAGATTTTTATTTCACACTTACAACAGGCCTCCTTGTAGCTGGTATCAACGTCTTATTATTTTGTAAAGCCACAACTGATTTTGGAGTGGTCCCTCCAAAAACTCCTATAAATTGACTCTTGAACTGCATGCGTTTGAATGAAAAACAGCGCATAGTTCAAAGGGAATGAACAACAATATGAACAAAACTTATGCTAATGGCAAACAGAAATAAATGCAACTACTTAAGCAATATTCCCTTGGATCAGTTAACAGATTAGGTTGTGCATTCCCACAGAAGAAGTTACGGGAAACACTGGGTCATAGGAACAATGATACAGATCTGTACTTTAAATCCTTTAAAGAATTACACTTCCTCTCCTGTCAAATGTTTGGAGAAAACCGGGCAAAAAAAGTTACATAAGACAATGATTTTCAGACTTCCAGAAACCAAGACTTATTTGGGATGAAAATTCCTAAATACACATACTTATATACGAATACTGTGATAAAACTCAGAGGTAGCTCCTGTTATCCTGTTAGTAGCTACACAGCAGTGAAGGAAACTCAACAGGAATTGTTACCGACTTCTTAAAATGGTAATATACCTTGTGGAGCCAACATCTGGGATTCCCTGGTGCTGGCTGCTGTGCATACCATAACTTGAACACTCATTACTGTAAAATAATTGCACTGTGGCATAAGATAGGAGCCACCATGCCCATACAGACAGCCAACAGAGAAGAGAAAGCCATGAGAGACAGGGGTGGGCCTAACAAGTGGTGGTCACCCCACACCGTCTGTGCAGTCAACCGTTAACTCTACATACTGATGCTTCAGTATGGTGTAGCTCATGACCAGACTAGGAAATTTTGTTGGGAAAATTGAAAGCAGAAGAGAGAGCAGGGAAGACAGAGCAGGGAGAGGAAAAGGAGAGGAGGGAAAGGAAGGGAGGGAAGAGAAGATGGTTTTAAGAACGTTTTTTCTTCCATACTCCAAAAGGAAGGAGCTTGCTTACACTAGATAAAAGGGTGATGGCACACCCAGCTTAAAGGGAGAACGACAGCATCACTGCTGTCCACATGACACTGACTGTCATACTTGAATCCCCTCACAACAGAAATTAAGCGATTAGTCCATCCTCCATGTCCTCCTTTACCTGGGAAGAGTTTGTTTCAGAAACAGCTCACGGAGCTGTCCTGTGTAACATTTAGATTTGGGAACAAGCATTTATATGTGTCAGAGCATGCTAGGATCCTTCATTCTTGCAGCAGCAGGATTAGATATAATTGAATTTTGAAATAGAGGGGAGAACAGACCAATTAGGTGAAGACAGGCCCAATAGCCTGGTAAATAACTTAGGCAATGATTTACCCCAGCTATTCTTCAAGACAGTCCAGATCCCAAGCATACAATGAAGTTTCAGGACTGTAAATAGGCTAGAAAATAACAAGATATTTGTGCAACAGACAACTGTTTCATTTTAAATTGAAACAGAAACTGGTTTTAAATTGTTTGGGCTGTGATGCCTACTAATGATATTTCATAACTCAATGAAAAATTACAGTCATGCACTTTTCCTTTGCATAAATTGTCTATAACTTCAGCTGGTCTGTGCTACTCTAATACTAAACATTCAATACTGATAGACAAAGGAGGTTGTTTTATCTGAGGTGAATACTGATTCAGTGCCATTTTGTTGGCTTGCCAGCAGCCCTCAGATACTGGAAAGCAAAGTTGAAAATGGAGGAATAAAAATATTTACTGTAAATGAATTTCATAGGAGCTTCTGCAAAGCAGAGGAAGTTGATAACCAATGTAGTCGAGTCATTTTCCAACCTCTCAATTCTAGAGATTTTATTTTCCTCTCAATTACTGAATTTTACACCACTTATACACACCCACATTTATACATTCAGATCTATGCGTACACCAGCAAGTGCACAGAGAAGTCTAAAGATTTTACCATCATGTCATGTTTTCTCCTAGAGGATGTGGCTACCTTCACTAGTCTACAAATTGCAATTTTGTACCTTTCTACACCTTCCTATGTAACATAAACCAAAAAATGTACTCCCCCTAGTTTCATTCTATGGTACTAGAATGATACTGCCTGCTTTTTAAGGCAGATGCCATCACCTCTGTGATACCAGTAAGGGATAAATTAAAGAAACTACAATAAAATGTAAGATACATAAGTGTTTTCCTACCACACAGAAGATTTATAGGAAAAAAAGAACACTGGTTTACGTTAGAAAATTACCTTTCTTGGAAACTAAGAATATGATGTGCCCTCAGAACAGTCTGTATGACCTGAAAACTGCTTCAGCACAAGACAGCTGGCTTCCAATCTTTTTCAAAAAGATTCAGAAATTTAAAATACAGAAAAATATTTTATCCAATAGCTCACTAGATGATTATTAAGGACTTGAAACATTTGACTGTATTCTCCAAGGGCAACAATTGCAAGGATTTTAAAACACTACTGTTACCAGAATTTGGCAGAGAGATTAAGGACGCAGTGGTCTACAACTGAAAACTGCAAGATGGCTGGTGCATCCACATTGCAAGAAGCAGTGTATCAGTGACAGATCAAAATTACTGAAAAAGAAATGCATCCCAGAATGTGCTTGTGTAAGAACAGGAAGTCCTCCAACTGATTTTGTGCAGTTCTCATGGGGACAGCTTTATTCCCTGAAACGGAAAGTCACGTTGTTCTGACATCATCCATATTTTAGGAAAGATGGTCATTTATATTGATACCATAAATCTAAATGTTCTGATTCCTCCAACAGTCTCTGTGGTGGTGTAAACACGCTCTTTTCAGATCAGCATGCTGTATCTGGTATTTTTCAACGTAACACCCCTACAGAGACATTATGTTCAAGTCAAACTTGCCCTTACTGAAAATATCTCTACCTCCAATAGACAAAAACCTGTTGAAACAATAACTCTGAGGATGTACTTTCAGTACACTGCAACATGACTTTCACATACTATGGCAGGAATATTTTTTTCAAATGGGTAATGTAAATACATCCTTCATATCCACATTAGCAACCCTACTTTGTGGAGAAAGTTCCTGGCTAAAGATGAATCACTGTACCACCTATTTAGTTCAAGATCAGATCCCTAATCTGATGAAGTATCTCTGACCACACAACCACAGGATCTCTAAATAATATGCTTATTGCTTATTATTAAATAATAGTATCTAACATATAATGATGTCTAATTTATGTATCATATTGCATTATCTAGATTATAATAATATACTAAAATGCTAATTTTTTTTCTCTCCTGATTTCACTAGGTGCTCTCACTACTATACAGCTCCTTCTCTGAAGCAACTGGAAAAGTAGATTATTGTTCTTATATTTAGGCGTTTCTGCTTGAGAAGTATTCCCATGTGCTGCAAACTTTCAACACAGTCCAGACTGCGAATTACAGCACCTTCCTCTATAAATAGCAAGATAATATTTAAAAGATATAACACTTTTTAATACAGTCATATATGGAAATAAGACCTCA